CTAGGTTGTTGGGTATTGATTTGGTTCGTCATGCTTTGAAGAAGGTGAAGTTGATTCAGGAGCGGCTTTATACAACACAATCCAGGCGGAAGAGTTATGCTAATAGAAAGATTCGTTATATAGAATTCATGGAGGGAGAGAAGGTACTTCTGAGGGTTTCTTCTAAGAAAAGCGTGATGATATTCGGGAAGAAGTTCAAGTTGAGCTCTAGGTATATTGGTCAATTTTAGATTTTAGAGAGAGTTGGTGAGGTGGCTTACAAGCTTGCTTTGCCACCCAGCTTGTTGGGAGTTCATCTGATAGTCCATATTTTCATACTTCAGAAGTATCATAAAGACATGTCACGTGTGTTAGATTTTAGTTTAGTGTAGTTGGATGAGAACCTAGCTTATGAAGAAGAGCCAGAGGACATCATGGATAGGCAGGTTCAGAAGCTGCGGTAGAAAGAGATTACATTAGTGAAAGTTCAATGGAGAGGTAAACTGGTCGAGGTAGCAACTTGGGAGACCGAGCATGATATGTGGAGCATATATCCTCATATATTTTGGATCACACATATGATTCTAAACCCATTTGATCACAAGCGTTTGTTTAAGAGTGGTCGAATATAGCGACCTTACCGACCATTTAGAGTATTGGAGCCCCGTTCCCCTATTTTGATGCTTTCCATAGTTTCATTTAATGTTTTATGACTTGTGGGGATGGTTGGTTTGGTTTGGTTTCAGGAAGGTGTGAAAGTGAATTGGAACACTTTGTTCTATTTTGGAAGCTTAAGTTATAAGAATTGACCAAGGATTGGCTTTTGAATAAATGACCTCGGATTGGTGATATGATGATTCTAATAAGTTCATATGGTAATTTTGGACTTGGGCATATGTTCGGACTTGGTTTAGGAGATTCCTAGAAGATTTTTGACTCTATTTATCGTAAGTTGGTAATTTGACGAAATGGAGAATTCATAGGTTTGATCGATAATTTACTTTGATTTTATCTTAATACGTTTGGTGTTCCGGGACTTTTGAATAGGTTCATTTGGTTGAATGAAACTTGTGTACAAATTTTGGTTGAGATCCGAGGTATTTAGGCATCAATCAGATACTTGGTTGGAAGTTTAGATGTTCTTGAACTTAAAAGAAGTTCAACTTGTGGTTTGATCTTCGATTCTTGGATGTAGTGTTTTAATGTGTTTGCAGGCCTTGTGTCACGACCCAAAATTCCAACCGAAGGGTCGTGATGGCGCTTAACCTTACGTGCTAGGCAAGCCAACACATAACAGTAAATAAAGAAGCAATACTAAACATTTAGCAACATTTTATCATAGATAAAGAGTAAAAGTTCCTATAACAACATAATAAGTCTAAAACCATCATCTGACATAACAATCTCCCAAGACTGGTGTCATTGAGTACATGAGACCTAATGAGTACTAAATATAATGTTTGAAAAGAATACAATGTTGTCTAATACAATTAAATAGTAATAGAGACAATGGATAGGTGATTTCAAGGCCTACGAACGAGTATGGAACACTACCTCGAATCTCCTGACTGGTAACGACTCAGCACCTCTCAAGACTCTGCTGGTATCAATGCCTGAATCTGCTCAAGAAGTGTAGAAGTATAGTATGAGTATAACCGACCCAAGGTACTCAGTAAGTGTTGAGCTAACCTCGACGAGGTAGTGACGAGGCTAAGACAAAACACCTACTTTATAAACCTATGTGGTTAATAAGCAATAGAACAAATAAGAACATAACAAGATAAATTATCAGAGAAATAATAAGAGTAAGTATGAGAAATAGTAAAAGGAGTAATTAAAGGGAATAACCATCATGCTTCCCAATATCACAACCAAACCTGTGTCCACAACTCAAATCCAAAAGAATAACATATAGTCGAGTCAACAAATCGACAAAAACAAAGAAATGAGTAGAAATATCATAAAAAATAGAACGGAAATACTCCATGTGCATATATCACTCATCCTTAAAGGCACGAAAATACTCGTCATGTAATATCTCTCAACCTCACAACATTGAAAGACTTGTCGTACAATGTATCTCAACCTCATAGCAAGTAAATACTCATCGTGCATAATCACTCATCCTCACAGCAAGGAAACTCCCTTCTTTCATAATCACTCATCCTCACCAAGCATATGTAAATAAATACCAAGCAAGGTGAGAAGCATAAATAATATTAACGAGAGTGATTAAACATAATATGCCGTGTAAGAAATAATCATGGCCGTTGCAGCAATAGATGAACCAACATTTCAAGAACTATAATGTCCAAATATCTCAACAAATCTTAAATATAGTTAGTAGCATGTATATGAATAAACAAGTAACTTCACGAACTAACTAAAGCATATGAGAAATAATACATGAAGCAAACAAGGCATAAATAACGTTAGATCTACCCGCATGCTTTAACCATGTCAAATACATATACACTCGTTACCATGCATATACGTCGCCCCTAACACATATAGCACGTAGAAAATAGACCACAAATGGAATCTAATTCGCTCAAATTAAGGTTAACCAATACACTTACCTCCTTCCAAAACAAGTCAACCCTCAAATATCGCTATCCCTTTAGCACAAGCCTCCAAACAACTCGAATCTAGCCAAATATTACTCAAATAAGTCAAAAACGCTTTAGAAACTATCCTACTATAAAAAAGTTCAACCTTTATCATATTGAAAAGGTCAACAAAATGTTAACCCGGGCCCACTTGGTCGAAGTCCGAAATCAAGATCAAATCTTGATTACCCATTCTTCCCGAGTCCAAATATGTCGTTTGTATCAAATCAGACCTCAAATCGAGGTCTAAATCCCCATAATTAGTTCTCTTAAATATTTTCCCAAAACCCCAATTCATACACATCAAATTTCTAGATTTAAGGGTGAAAATCTACGAGAAATCATGGAATTAAGTCAAAACTAAGTCAAAATTACTAACCTTAGAAGTTGGGGTGGTAATCCTCTCAAAAAATCTCCTCCATCCGTAGCCTAGGTCTCAAGAATGAAAGTGGCTAAATCATGATGTTTTGCACTTTTACCCTGGTTTCAGGTGTTCTTCGCGTTTCGATGCACCTCCCGTTTTTGCGAAGGCTAATGGTGAACTGACCATCGTGTTTGTGCAAGTTGCTTTGCTTTCACGAAGGCCATTCCCCCCTTGCCTCTGCATTCACGACCCCACTATCACGTTCGTGATGAAGAAAATCCACCCAGCCCCAAAATTCTACGCGTTCGCGTAAGAGCGATCACATTCACGAGGGCAAACTCCCCCGAGCCTTCGCGTTCGTGGTCAGCCCTCCATGTTCGCGGAGTGTAAATTTCCCCCAATCCTAAATCTCCCTATGCGAACACAAGATAGCTCCGCGTTCGCGATGCGCAATGATCCAATAGCATAACAACTACGGCAATTTGTGCAAAAATGGTAGGAAACCACCCCAAAACTCACTCGAGCCCCAGTCCAAACACCACAACAAGTATATAAATGTAATGACCCAACAAGTCATTTCGAGTATTAGAACCCCATTCCTCTATTTAATATTTTTAGTATGTGTGTTGATATTTTATGACTTGCGGGGATGGGTGATTTGGTTTTCATGGGGTTCGAGAGTAATTTGTAACACTTGGTTTTATTTTAGAAGTTTTAAGTTGGAAGAGTTGAATAAGGTTTGATTTTTGACTAAAAGACCATGGAATTGGGATGTTGAGGATTCTGATAGGTTCGTATGGTGATTATGGACTTAAGTGTATATTCAGATTTTGATTTGGAGGTTCCTACAAGATTTTGACTCTATTTGTCAAAAGTTGACAATTTGAAGAATTGAAGAGTTTATAAGTTTGACCGATAATTGACTTTGATGATACCAGACTCTTATTGTTGTACCTCAACTTTCGATATGTTCGTGTTGTCGTATGAAACTTTTATGCAAAGATTGGTTGAGATCCAAAGTGGTTAGGCTTGAATCAAATGCTTGGTTGGATGATTAGACGTGCTTGAATTTAAGATAAATTCAACTTGTGATTTAATATTTGATTCTTAGATTTAATGATTCTGTATATGTGGTTGGGGAGGCCTTGGATAGGTCTGGGTAGTCTTTACAGACTTGATGGTATGATTGGACGGGGTCCCACGTGACTTAGGTGAGTTTCAGACCACCCAAAGCATTTTTAGAGTTGCAGATTTTTCTAGTGTCTAATGTGCTTCGCGATCGCGGAGAAGGTCTTGCGATAGCAGAGGGTTATTTTGGAGCTGGGAAGTTATTCATTGCGTATGCGATGGGGCAGTCGCATTAGCGATGGGGGAGTTGGGAACTGGGGGAAGGCCTTCGCATTCACAAGAGGGTGGTCGCATTCGTGGAGCAGTTTGGGTAGGAAGGCATCACATTTACGAGGCTATTGTCGCATTCTCGAAGGTATAGCAAGCGAGGCTTCCCGATCATGGGGGTGCTTCCACGATCACGAAGGAGGAATTTTTGGAGAGGCTGGTTTGAGCTTCGCAAATGCGATGCTTAGGCAGCATTCACGATGAGTACCCCAGGGCAATATTTATATGAGGATTTTAGGATTTTAGCCCATTCTCTCATATGTTGAACCCTAGACTTGAAGAGGAGCGATTTGTTTAAGGAGCTTTACAAGACTAAAGGGTAAGTGATATTTACTCATTTGTCATTATATTTCAAGAATCTACATGGATTATTAACACCCAAAATATGAAAATTTGGGGTTTTTGCCTATAGCTTAAGAGAGTAAATATTGAGGTTTTGAGCTATGATTCGGACTTGGTTTCAAAAACCAAACATATATTTGAACTCGTGGGGTTATGGGTGATCAGGTTCTACCCCTTAACTTAGGTTTTGACCATGTGGCCCCTGGTTGACTTTTGTTGACTTTTTTGAAATTGATTAAAAATTAAAACTCTATTATTTGGAATTGATTCCTATGACGTTATTTGACTCTATTAAGTTATTTTTTTGCTAGATTCGAGCTAGGTGGAGGTGATTGCTATAGGAAAGGAGATTTTGGAGGGTTGATTAGGCTCACTAAGGTAAGTATCTTGCCTAACATTATTGTGAGGGACTAATCATTGGGAGATGACCTTGTTTGCTCAATTGTAATTTGTGGGAAGCAACGTATATGTGAGGTGATGAACATACATACAGGACATGTGCTATATATGATTCTTGCTCAATTGTAATCATTAGGGTTTTATTATACCTTGTTTTGTTGTGTGCCTTCTATGATTCATGTTCAAATTAATTGTATGCCTACGTGAGCTATTCCTTTCATTATAGTATCCATCTTTAGGATTACAACTTTGTAATTGGCCAAGATTAGCTATTTGTGAAATTGTTGTTATACTTGATTTAGCCATAGTCATACTTTAGATCTTGAGCACACATCTGCACTTTTATTTATCATATTTTTGTGCATCTTATTGATTATTTTTGAGCATATGCCTCTTTAAAGATTAACTATTATTTTAGATTGTTATGATTATGGCATATTTGGACATGTTGAGCGGATTGATTTGGCTATGACACGAGGTTTTTGTCGTGCGGTCATTGTGATATTTTTACTCTTCTTGCTTGGGGTTTCTCATATGTAGTTGAGGTGACATAGTCACTACTATGGCATGAGGTCATTGCCGTGCAGCGTGTGGATATGGATCCGCCCTTTAAAGTCTCCGCCTCTCATGTTTCGCTATTGATGGCATACACGCAGTTTGTGAGAAATTGACAGGTTTCTAGTTGATTGTGATATGGGATCCGATGTGATGAGTTTTGAGCATAAAGGTGGACGCTTTGACCATTTAAGTGAATCCCTTATGCGTTTTCATGCATTTTCTATGCTTTCTAATCCCTTATACCTTTTCATGCCTTTTCTATGCTTTCTATGTTGAATGCTAACATGCTACTTGATGCATCTATTATGTGATTTTGACTTGTTAGTCTAGATAGAATTATCCATGTTGAGTCGATATTTCTTGCTATGATCTTTGACGATATTGTATCTCTTTTCACAGTGTTGTGAATAATTATGAACTATAAAGATTTATTTCATTAGTAGGTATCACATGACTTGAAACTCATCACTACTTCATCGAGGTTAGTCTTGATACTTACTGAGTATAAGTTTCCCATACTCATACTACACTTTTGCATATTTTTGTGCAAATCCAAGCATTGGCAGTAGTGAACTTTAGGAGGGAGCCTAGTAGCAATCAGTGGAGACCCGAGATAGTGCTGCATGATCATTCGTAGAACCTTGGAGTCCTCTTCCCATGTTTTCATACTGTTATCTATATTCAAACAGTATTGTATAGTGAGAGATTTCATTATACTTTGTTTTAGAGCTCAAGACTCCGTACTATCAGGTTTTGAGTAGTTGGTGTTGTAGTATCTTTATACATCCCGTTGTTGAAAGATTTATTTCGCAATTTATGTTATTTCTACTATATTATATCTTGTTTTGTTTGTTTTGATCTATGTTACATTTTGGCTTACTTAGCATTGGGCATTCGGTACCATCATGACTGTTGGTGGAATTTTGGGTCGTGACAAAGTTTGTATCAGAGCTCTAGGATCATGGGTTCTACGAGCCTTGAGTATTTCTAGTAGAATCGTGTGGATCGGTATGGAGACGTTTGTGCTTATCTTCGAGAGGCTACATGACAAATAGGAAACTTCACTTTATTCCTTCTCTATCGTGTGACTTTATTTCATCCTAAAGTTTGAATCTTTGCTATTTTATTTTCTCATAGATGGTGAGAACATATTCTTTCACAGCAGCTCAGTAGGAGACAATACCCTAGGCAAGAGCCGGGAGAGGTAGGGGTCGGGGCAAGGTTAGAGGGCAAGCCAAAGCACGTATGGTTGCACCTGTGAGAGATGAAGCACCTGTAATTCGTTGTGCTCGTGCTAAATCAGTTTCTGAGGAGCCAACTTTGTAGCTCCAGTAGCGTAGCAGGCTCCAATTAATGTTGTTCCACTGGGTCCGGCTCAGGTTCCCAAGGGTTTTAATGCTACACTTAAGCTTCATGACACTATGGTCTTGGACGACTCGGTCGGTCGTTTTGAATGTTGTAGCTCTGTTCCCCCTATTTACTACTTATACTATGCTAAATTGTGTTATGTGACTTGACGGGATAGTCGGTTTGGTTCCGGAGATATTTCGGATTGAGTTGAGATACTTAGTCTCATGGTTGAAAGCTTAAGTTGAAAAGGTTGACCGGATGTTGACTTATGTGTAAATGGCTCCGAAATAGAGTTTTGACAGTTTCGATAACTCAGTTGGATGATTTTGGACTTAGGAGTGAGTCCGGATACTGATTTGGAGGTTCGTATTTGATTTAGGCTTGAAATAGCGAAAGTTGGAAAATTAAAAAGTTTTGAAAATTGAGAAGTTTAACTGAGAGTTGACTTCGTGGTTACGAGGCTTGGATTTTGGTTCTGGGAGTTGGAGTAGGTCCATTGTGTCATTTATGATTTGTGTGCAAAATTTTAGCTCAATCGGACTTGATTTGATAAGTTTCGGCATCGATTATAGAAGTTGGAATTCCTAGTTATCATTAGGCTTGAATTGAGGTGCGATTCGTGTTTTTGATGTGATTTGAGGGCTCGTCTAAGTTCGTATCGTGCTTTAGGACTTGTCGGTGTGTTTGATTGAGGTCTCGAGGGCCTCGGGTTGGTTTCGGATGGTTAACGGATCAAATTTTGGACTCGAGAAAATGCTGAAGAGTTCTGGACTGGTGTAATCGCACTTGCGGAGGTCATGGTCGCAGGTGTGAGGCCGCATATGCATGGTGGACATCACATAAGTGGCCTGGAAGGAAGTGGGAAGTGGTCGCAGGTGTGAGGTTATTTTCCGCACTTGCGTGGTCGCTAATGCGGCGTATTGGGCGCAAAAGCGCGAGTTGGGTCAGCTGGGGGACTTGCGCAGGTGCGATGGTATATCCGCACCTGTGAGAGCGCATATGCGAAAAAGGTCGCACAGGTGCGGGAGCATGAGTCTCCGGGAGAACCGCAAAAGCGGAGGATTTGTCGCTTCTGCGACACCGCAGATGTGGGTAAGTTTGTCGCAAGTGCGAAAAGCCCTGGACAGAATATAAACGTTGGGTTCCGAGGTTTTTATTATTTCTTGACTTTGCAAACTCGGATTAAGGCAATTTTTGAGCGGGAATTTGAAGGGTTTCTTGAGGTAAGTCACTTGTGATCATTTTTATTCAATAATATTATTTCCCCATTGAATTTCCCACCTAGTTTATGTGTTTTTAGGTGGAATTTTGGGGTTTTAAGGCTAGGGATTTGGAGAGTTTAATTTGGGGATTTGAGCGGTGATTTGGTATCGAAATTTTATAAATTTGGTATGGTTGGACTCGTGGTTGAATGGGCTTCCGGATTTTGAAACTTTTATCGAATTCCGAGATGTGGTCCGGGGGTCGACTTTTGAGTTGACTTTTTGACTTATGATTAAGAACTTAGTATTTTCTTACGAAATGGATTCCTTTAGCTCGTGTTGATTGTATCAAATTGTTTGTGGCTAGATTCGAGACATTTGGAGGTCGATTCGCTAGGCAAGGGCTTATTGGAGTAGTGATTTGCACGGTTTGAGGTAAGTAACACTTCTAAACTTAGTTCTGAGGGTATTAAACATCGAATTACGTGTTATGTGATTGGTGTTGAGGTGACGCACCTGCTAGGTGACGGGCGTGTGGGCGTGCACCGTAGGAATTGTGACTTGGTCAATTCCATGGAACTGTATAGTTGAAAAATCTTGTCGTTATCCGTATATTCTCCCTGTGTTAGAGAAATTGAGCTGCAAGTCATGTTAGAAATCATGCTTAGGCTACATACTGGTACTGCTGGGACCCACATAAGTCGTGTTGCATGTTGAATTATTTGTTTAAATTACAATTATGCACTCAGTCACAGCTATTATTTGCATATCATATCTTAGTTTGTTGCCATTTATTGATACATCATATCATCATTGTTTGGGCTGATTATCATGATTTTTGTGAGCCCGAGAGACTGGAGAGATTGATGACTAAGTGAGGCCGAGGGCCTGATTGTGAGGATATTTATGGGATCGGGCTGCACACGATAACATGTTTTATTGATTAATGCCATGATTGGCTTATTGTAGCGCTTGGGCTGGATTTGCCCCTCCGGAGTGTGCACACCTATAGTGAGCGCAGGTACTTACTAAGTGCGAGTGTGAGTGCCGAGCGATATGGAGGATTGAGTGACTGTGAGGATGGAGTGACTGTGAGGAACGAGTGACTGTGAGGATAGAGTGAATATGAGGTCTGAATGATTGATACTGTGAGAGTATGCATATGGTTTCATCACTGTTTTGTACTACAGTTGGCATACATAGCTGACATGTAGATATCGAGATGTACCATATCTTGTTTCAATTAAACTTGACATATCTTACAAATTTGAGCTTTAACTGTTAAACATGGAAGCATGCCAACATTTCTGTACTGAAATTCTATAATTGAACGGTACTTATGAAGCTCGTTACTGCTTTCAGCCCAATAGTTAGACTTGTTACTTACTAAGTTGGTTGTACTCACGCTACACCCTACACTCTATGTGCAGATCCAGGTGTTTCCTGACATGGTGGTTGCGGATTCTCAGAATTTACAGTCACTCGGAGATTTTTCGAGGTAGCTGCCCTGGCGTACGCAGACCTTCACTCTCCTCCCCTATCCCTCAGTTTTACTTATTCAGTTTCTTGTATCTTAGAATGTGTATCAGACTTTGTTTTCGTATAGATGCTCATGTACTCAGTGACACACTGGTTTTGGAAAACTTCTGTATCAAGTCGTGACAGTTTTATCCAGTTTTATGAGATTTTTACTTATTTAAACTTGTTTTAGTATATTTTAAATTTGAAAGTGTTGGTATGTCTGAGTTGTCGGCTTGCCTAGTATTATGATAGGCGCCATCACGACAGGTTGAGTTTTGGGTCGTGACAAGTTGGTATCAGAGCTTAGGTTGCATAGGTCTCACGAGTCATGAGTAGGTTTAGTAGAGTCTTGCAGATCGGTACGGAGACGTCTGTACTTATCTTTGAGAGGCTGCCGAATCCTTAGGAAATCTTCACTTTCTTGCATTCTTCTCGTGTGAATTTGTTAATTCCAGGAACTAAACTTCTATTATTATATTCTCTCATAGATGTTGAGGACACGTGCTACCGGACCAGACGGACAACCACCAGTACCACCGGCTAAAGTCACGAGAGGCTGGGGCCGCGGTAGGGGCCGAGGTGCAGCTCGTACAGCAGTTAGAGCAACACCTGCAGATCCACCAGTTACTCCTGCTCAGGAGCAGGTTCCAGATGTGGTTGAGTTAGTGGGGCCAGCTCAGGCACCAGCTGTGCCCATAGTGATTCCAGGCCTTCAGGAGGCTTTGGCTCAAATATTGACTGTCTGTACTAGCCTTGCTCAGGCAGTTTCTGTTCAAACTGCCCCAGCCACATCTTAGGCCGGGGGAGGTACACAGACTACCACCCCATACTCCAGAGTAGGGGATATAGGGACTTTAGACATCGGGGGTATTACAAGCCCAGTCGGTTGCAGTTGCTCAGGCCCAGGTGGGTCCCATTATAACTGATGAGGAGCAAAAGCGGCTAGAGAGATTTGGGATGCTCAGGCCTCCATCATTCAGTGGGGCTGAGTTAGAGGATGCCCAAGACTTCTTGGATAGATGCCAGTAGATTCTTCACACGACGGGTATTCTGGAGACTAGTGGAGTCTCCTTTACTACTTTTCAGCTATCAAGGGCTGCCTTCAGATGGTGGGAGGCCTATGAAAGGAGCAGGCCAGTCAGTGCTGCACCACTTTCATGGCATGAGTTCTCCGTTCTCTACTTGAAGAATTTTGTGCCACAGACCCGTAGGGAGGAGCTGCGTAGACGGTTCGAGCAGCTACGTCAGGATGGCATGTCTGTGACCCAGTATGAGATGAGATTTTCAGAGTTGGCTCGTTACACGGTTTAGTTGGTTCCCACTGAGAGGGAGAGGATTAGGAGGTTCATTGATGGCCTCCACTATTAGTTGTGTTTTGTTATGACTCGGGAGAGTGTATCGGGTGCTAGGTTCGACGAGGTGGTTGATATTGCTCGGAGCTAGAGATGGTCCGTAGTCAGGAGCGTAAGGAGAGGGAGGCCAAGAGGCCTCGTGGTTTAGGTGGTTTTAGTGTTGTTCCTTTTGGGAGGAGGCAGTCCTACCACAGTAGGGTCGTCCTTATAGGCCCGCTCAGATGGCTCGTCCAGTCCATCGTGGTGCATCAGCTAGCCATGGCTCGTACAATGCTCGTCCGGGTCAGTCATCTCTCAGTGCTCTTCCAGCTCAGAGTTCATCCCGTGCTCCATCGGTTTAGGGTTCATCTGTGCCAGGTCCTTCTAGCAGTTACTTTGGTACTCGAGGCCCGATTCAGTCCCCACTACCACCAGCGGGGAATTACTTCGAGTGCGGGGAGTTTGGGCATATGTGGAGACAGTGTCCTCGTCGTCCAGGAGGTCCAGTTCAGTAGAGGTGTCATGTTATGACTTCCGCACCAGTTACTTTACCATCTGCCTAGCCAGCTCGGGGTGGGACCCAGACAGCTAAAGGTCGCCCTAGAGGGGGAGGCCGATCAGGTGGTGGTCAGGGCCGATTCAATTCTATTCCTTCCGGGCCAGATGTTGTTACTTCAGATGCAGTGATCATAGGTATTGTCTTAGTATGCCATAGAGAAGCTTCCATATTATTTGACCCTAGTTCTACTTATTCCTATGTATCATCCTATTTTACTTGTTATTTGGATATGCCCCGTGAGTCCTTAGTTTCACCTGTTCATGTATCTATGCCGGTAGACGATACTATTATTGTGGACCGTGTATATCGATCATGTGTAGTGACTATTGGGGGATTGTAGACTACAATTGGTCTCTTATTTCTTAGTATGGTCAATTTCGACGTGATATTAAGTATGGATTGGTTGTCTCCATGTCATGTTATTCTGGATTGTCACACTAAAATCGTGACGTTGGCGATGCCGGGGTTGCCAAAGATCGAGTGGAGAGGTTTTCTAGATTATGTTCCCAGCAGGGTGATTTCTTACTTAAAGGCCTAACAGATAGTTCAGAAGGGTTGTCTGTCATATTTGGCCTTTTTGAGCGATGTTGGTGTTGATACCCCTACTATTAATTCCGTTCTGATGGTGCGAGACTTTCCGGATATGTTTCTTGCAGACATGCCGGGCATGCCACCCGACAGGGATATTGATTTGGTGCCGGGCACTCAGCCCATTTTTATTCCTCCGTATCGTATGGCACCAATTGAGTAGAAGGAATTGAAAGAGCAGCTTCAGGAACTTCTTAATAAGGGGTTTATTAGGCCTAGTGTGTCACCTTGAGGTGCACAAGTTCTGTTTGTTAAGAAGAAGCATGGTACTATGTGGATGTGCTCGACTATAGGTAGTTGAACAAAGTTACAATCAAGAAAACGTATCCTTTTCCGCGCATTGATGATCTATTTGACCAACTTCAGGGAGCGAGGGTGTTCTCTAAGATTGATTTGAGGTCTGGGTATCACCAGTTGAACATTCGGGACTCAGATATTCTAAAGACGGCATTCAGGACCCGTTATGATCCTTATGAGTTCCTTGTGATGTATTTTGGGCTGACCAACACCCAACATCATTCATGCATCTGATGAACAATGTATTTCAGTCATATCTCGACTCGTTTATCATAGTATTTATTGATGATATCCTGGTGTATTCACGTAGCCAGGAGAAGCATGCCCAGCATTTGAGGATTATATTACAGTGGCTACGGGAGGATAAACTTTATGCCAAGTTCTCCAAGTGTGAGTTTTAGCTTAGTTCGGTGGCATTCTTGGGGCACGTGGTGTCCAGTGAGGGATTAAGGTGGATCCAAAGAAGATAAAAGCGGTTTAGAGTTGGCCCAGACCGTCCTCAGCTACTGAGATTCAGAGATTTCTCGGCTTGGCTGGTTATTATCGTCGCTTCGTGGAGGGTTTCTCGTCTATTGCTGTGCGTTTGACCAAATTGACCTAGAAGGGTGCTCCTTTCAGGTGGTCAGATGAGTGTGAGGAGAGTTTTCAGAAGCTCAAGACTGCCTTGACCACAGTTCTAGATCTAGTTCTGCCATCTACTTCTGGCTCTTATACAATATATTATGATGCTTCTTGGATTTGTATTGGGTGTGTCTTGATGCAGAAGGGTAGAGTGATTGCTTATGCTTCGCACCAGTTGAAGCCCCATGAGAAGAACTACCTTGTTCATGATTTGGAGTTGGCAGTCATCGTTCATGCATTGAAGATTTGGAGGCATTATCTCTATGGTGTGTCTTGTGAGGTATTTACGGATCATCGAAGTCTCCAGCACTTCTTCAAACAGAATGATCTAAATTTGAAGCAGTGGAGATGGTTAGAGCTGCTAAAGGACTATGATATTATCATCCCGGGAAGGCCAATGTAGTGGCCGATGCCTTGAGTAGAGAGGCGGTGGGCATGGGTAGCCTTGCATTTATTCCTGTTGGTGAGAGACCGCTTGCAAATGATGTTCAGGCCTTTGCCAACCAGTTCGTGAGATTAGATGTTTCGGAGCCCAGCCGGGTTCTAGCTTGTTTGGTTTCTCGGTCTTCCTTATATGATCCATCAGAGAGCGCAAGTGTGATGATCCCCATTTGCTTGTCCTTAAGGACACAGTTCAGCACGGTAATGCCAAGGATGCTACTATTGGGGATGATGGGGGTGTTGAGGATGCAATGTCGGATTTGTTTGCCTAATGTAGATAGGTTACGTGAGTTGATTCTTGAGGAGGCCCACAGTTTGCGGTATTTCATTCATTTGGGTGCCGCGAAGATTTACCAGGACTTGAGGCATCACTATTGGTGGAGGAGGATGAAAATGGATATAATGGGGTTTGTAGCTCGGTGCCTAAACTGTCAGCAAGTGAATTATGAGCATCAGAGACTGGGCAGATTGCTTCAGAGGCTTGAGATTCCGGAGTGAAAATGAGAGCGTATCACCATGGATTTTGTAGTTGGGCTCCCATGAACTTCGAGGAAGTTTGATGCTTTTTGGGTGATTGTGGATCGGTTGACCAAGTCCGCGTATTTCATTCCAGTTGGGACTACTTATTCTTCGGAGCAGTTGGCTGGAATCTACATCTGTGAGATTGTTCGCCTTCACGGTGTGCCAGTGTCCATTATTTCAGATCGGGGCACGTAGTTTATAGCGCAGTTTTGGAGAGCAGTGCAGCGAGAGTTGGGCACATAGGTTGAGTTCAGTTCATCATTCCACCCTCAGATGCACAGACAATCCGGGTGCACTATCTAGATGTTGGAGGATATTCTACGAGCTTGTGTCATAGATTTCAGGGGTTCATGGGATCATTTTCTGCCACTCGTAGAGTTTGCCTACAACAACAGCTACCAATCGAGCATTCAGATAGCTCCGTATGAGGCTTTGTTTGGGAGACGGTGTCAGTCTTCGATGGGGTGGTTTGAGCTGGGGGAGGCTAGGCTATTGGGTACTGACTTGGTTCAGGATGCTTTGGACAAGGTTAAATTGATTAAGGATCGGCTTTGCACAGCGCAGTCTAGACAGAAGAGTTACGCTGATCGAAAGGTTCATGATGTTGCTTACATGGTTGGGGAAAAGGTACTACTCAAGGTTTCACCCATGAACGGTGTTATGAGGTTCGATAAGAACGGAAAGTTGAGCCCTCGGTATATTGGGCCGTTTGAGGTGCTTTAGAGGATTGGAGAGGTGAATTACAAGCTTGCCTTGCCGCTTAGTCTGTCGAGTGTTCATCCAGTGTTTCATGTTTCTATGCTCCGGAAGTATGT